AGCTATTCTATTCTATTCTATGTTATTCTAAGCTATTCTATTCTATTCTATCCTATTCTATTAGAATGGGATGTATTAACCTTATTTCGACAACGGTGATGAAGGACTGATAGTTGAATTTTCCCATAGTCATATGAGCAGGCCTCATACTTCCACTGAATTTCACATAGCCCTGCTCTTCTAAAGATATTCTTATCGAGGCAGGGGTTGACTTCAGTTTCAACTTCGCTTGTACTGGTCATATTATCACCCCCAGCGGGACTCGAACACTGGTAGGCAGCGTATAAAATTCCGACATACTGACCAATACGTCACACTGCAACGAATACCCTTAGGTCATGTGGCAGATGTTAAATTTATTGGAAATGTGAGGCCTATTCATATGATTGTGGGAAAATTCAACCTTCAGTCCTTCAATACCTTATAAAAAAAAGGGCGAATACGGCTCTTATTCGTGGTCAATAGCACAAATTTCGACCCCGATTCGATTGACGATCATTTGTGTGTGATTAATAATAAAAACCAGATTTGCCAGTAAGTTTACTACCAATATTTTTCTTTCTTTAGTGAGTAAAAAACAAATAATGAACGCAACGTTCATCTTAGAATCCTCAACTTAATCTTCCATCCCCAAATTGCCATCAGGTGAGCTTTTCCCATAGTTTTACTTCATTAGTGCTTTTAACCTAAATTTCACATAATATGAATTAACCATATAAATTTGACAACTTTAATGATTGTAATCAAAGTTCAGACTTAATCGTGGACAGATGCGATACCAGAAACCATTCTAAATCATCATAATTTGATGGTAATCAGCTTTATAAAAGATGCGAAACGTAAGTCCATACTCATCAGGTGGCCACGTACCAGTGAGAGGAGGAGAACACCGAGAACCTGGATCTTCCGGCCCCCAGGACCAGGCTGTCCGAGTCGTGTCATCAGATCGGCTGCCCCATCGACTGTTGGCCCGAGCCCGGGCCGGGCGAGACTGTGCAGTTCAACAACCAGTTCACGGAGCACCCCCCGGCCAGCGCCGCGATCGCCGACCCGCAGGCCCAGGCGCAGTCGGGCCCTGGACCCGACCACCATCAGAACCAACCGTGCGGCCGGCTCAGTCTGCCCGTGGCCTCGCCGGCTGCTCGACCGGCCGGCCGGCCTCGGACCAAGCGCGTTGTGGCCAGAAGCGACCGGGCCCACACCTCGACGCCTCCCGATCTCGAGACCAGACCCGCCTCGGGTGGGCGGAAGGCGATCAACGAACCGCCGACAGCCTCCAAGTCCAGGCGTCGGGGTTCTGGGGCCACCTTCCTCAGGACCGACTCGGAAGATAGGCCTTTTCCTTGTCCAGTTCCTGGTAAGTTTAAAATCACTTAATCCGTTTGCTTCCTTTTGCCGTCGCGACCAAACGTCGATTCTTCAAAACTGTGACCGCCACACTCAAATGGGTAGGCCTCATGATGTCCGTCCTAAATAAGAATTCTTTTTGCAAAAGCGAGTCTATTGTCGTATCTACTGGCATAATTGTGGGAAAATTAAGCTACTAGTCCGCTTGTCATCTTTAACGAAATAGGGTGAACACACCTCATGTATAATCTGCCTACAGTCTCAAAATTCTGCATTCAAAAAAGTTTACCACAAACAAGATAAGAAAGAATCCCCGCTGAGGGCGCTGAGGAAATGTCGCGGTTGCAGTCCATCTTGGATGGAAGTAGCCCAACCGTCCTAAGACAGGTAGTTGAATTTTTGCCACAATGACGTGAATAGACTTTTCGTTTCCAGTGAATTTCACACCACCTTGCTGACCCAAAAGTTATTCTCAGCCAGGGTGAACTGCAGTTCGGCCTCGTTTGGAATTATCGTGGATGCAATTGCAGAGCACTCTGTACAGATGCGTTCATTCATATCTCTGACATTAAGATCAAGCTGTGAAAAAAGGGTCAAAACTACTTGTATACAAAGTAAGGAGGCCCCGACCATCATAAAGGCCACACCATCTTTGTCTTAACACCTTTACTTCGATTCTGGATAGTGATTTCACTAAAAATGTCTACTCGTCCAAGCTGGCGACAGGGTAGAAAGCATGCGTTGTGTTCCAAATTGGGAAGAGATATTTCATTATTAATTTTTTATTCGTCATGTCTCTTCTCAAGTCCCCCCATGCATCCAAGCCAAATCCTTCCACGCCCATGCGCTTTTAAGGCTGGTCTACGGCGTCTGCAGCGGAGACCTGATCCTGAAGGCTCGCATGATGCAATATTTGTTGTCACAGCCTTCACTTTGTTCACTATTGCGAGCGGAGGGAGTTCGTAGTTTGACTTTGCTGGAAGTTGAAAGAAGATTGTTTTGCGATTGTAATTATAGGTTTGTGCAAAAACATCCACGGCTCACCGACCAGCAA